ACAGGTACAATAAGTATTTTTTTTAGCTTACTTATTATGGAGAAATAATCTTGGAAAAAAAAAATAAATTCATCAATGTTATAAAATAAGCAGTAGCTTACCAGTGGTGATGGGTGTTAGAACTGTGGTGAGTTTTACACCATGCTTTCGGACAGCTTCAACAACCTGTTCAAAGCACACACACAAAAAAAATGCTGAGTGGAGCCATGCCAATATAACTACTTAATTTATCAATAAGTATCCAACAACAATTAGTTATTAAAGGTCTTAATGAAGAATAGGAGAGAAAAAGCTGTTACTTTTCTCACACTAACCTCAAACTGATATAAGGTACTCTGCACCTTTCTGCAAACTGTCCTGAAAGTAGGCACCTCCCATACAAAAATAATGAAATAAAAATAGTAAAATAAATAAATACATAAATAAGAAGAAATCTATCACGCTTGGATAGAATTACGTAGTGTTTTCAATAGTCTAGGGTTATGTTTTGACCTACACCCAACAACAACAACAACAATAATAATAATAATAACAACAACAATAATATATTTTTCTTAAGTCCACAATATCACCAGCAAAACGCAGAGTGGATTCTCTCAGAGTTATGATGCTGAACACTATATGTATTCTCATTGATGAATGACTATTTTAACCCTTATAAACTGTTCGCATTTCAAGCCTTCAGAATATGGTTGGGGTCAGTTTTGACCCATGCTAAGAACTGGTATAAATGTTTATACAACATTTTGAACTACAGATTATATAAATAGAATATGCATAAATAGCATATCTAAAAAATTGGATGATTAATGCTTAATTAATGTTTCAGAGACCAGATAGTGTTTTTTTGAGATTTACAAGATTCATTTTTAGTGAAAAAAAAAAAATCTAATACTTGAAAGCAGGAGAAAAATTATGATTTAATTATATTCTACTCAAAGTGAAAATGTTAATGACCTCAACTTTTGGGATTTATTATATAACAATGCAAAACTATTACAACTGTTAAACACTGCCCCTTGATATGTCATAAAAAAAACTGCTTGTAACTGCAGCCTATAACAATATCTATAATAATTCAATAACTTGTTCATTGCAAACTAATGTGTTTATTCAGGGCAGTGGTAGGACACCTTGCATGTGTGGAACTTGCGCAAGTGTTTCCCACACTCACCTAAATGCCAGTTCAGGTATCTTTATAATCTTGCTGAAAGGCAACAATTCTAATACTTCTAACCATTGCACCATCATGCTGAGTCATTTCAAATCTCATGTCTGTGTCAAGGCACCATCCCTAAAGGCACTCACTGACATCTATGTAACCTCTTGTGCACTGTTTGGAGATCACTCCATCTCACAGACCAGCTGGTACGGTCTCTGTGGGAACCTGGGCAAATATAGTGAGGACGCAGACAGTCTACGTGACAGTGTCAAGGTCCCCCTTGACGTCTGTCACGTCTGTCCAATAAAAGTAAAGAAGGAAAAAACCCACATAGGCATGACTTGCACACAAGATTCCCTAAAACCACATTTTTTTTATTTGACCCACACTGGTAGATCTAAAATCACATTTCATCACAAACAGCCTCAGTTTACAAAAGATTGTAGCACCTGTACAACAGTATAGATTTTGGATCATTTTAGGTATAGTCATAAAGTCAGTCAGAAACACAAAAACTAAACAAAAAAAGTGTCTAAACTATTTCACACACTTTCTCTCATTTAAATGAAGCAACTACTACAGTACTCTGTGTAGTAAATACTTAATTTAACTTGGTTATTCCTCACACACACACTAACCTCAGGTGAACTGGCAGCAGGTACAATTGCACCTTGAACGAACTGCAAACTGTCTGTAACTAGACACTTCCTCAGATACCATATCATGTAATAATTATAATAATAATGATAATAGTAACACAACAACAACAATAATAATGATAATATTAATACTTTCAGGCTCAAAATAAAAAATAAATAAAAGACAAAACAAAAGAAAACTATGTTGCTATCAAATATTTGTAAAAGGACACAATTTTGACTTGAATAGTGTGTAAAGATTAACACAATCACTTGTAGGTAGACTTTCTGCATTGGTGTTAAAGTGTTGTCAACTGGTTTATATAACATTACTTGATATGATACAGTGACTGAACAGACCTTTATTGGCTCCACGGGGTCTACAACAGCTGCTTCTCTGGAGTCCACATCGATCAGTAGGTACATGTAGTTGTCAGACAGCGCAGGGAGCAGTTCAATCTTCATGTTTGCTTGCTCCACCAGATTAGATTTCCTGACCACACTGTGAAGGAGGGCGGCTGCCTGGGCCTTGACTTCCACCGGAGCTTCATGAGGGGATAAAAGCCGATATTTAACACCGAGCCACATCAGACAGAAATCGGGACAGTTTAACTTCTAGTCCCCTGTACCTCTGTAATATATTCACATACTCCTTGCCTTACATTCGTTTAATGCCACAAACGCGAGAAACTTAACACACCTCACCGCCCCGCTGGACAAGTGAACGCCACACGTTAACACGCTTCGGTGTTGGATTTTTTGTGGGCACGCTAATTAATTACACCGATATGACTATCATAGAGGAGGTTATATAAGAGGAAACAGGTATGCGCTCAGACAGGCCGGCTGTGCTCATGTGACAGCTCCCCCCATTTTAAGACGACAAAACATAAACAAACGAACAAACGCCATCTACCCACCTAACGGCAGCGAAGCAAGCGAAAACTACGCTAAACCTTCGCGGGCTGAAAATGAGAGAAAACCGTGTGGACGTACCGAATTTTAAGGCTGTCGCAGCTCCTAATAGAGTGCAGGCACTCCCTACTAGTGACTTGAATAACATAACAACAGTAGCTAAAGTCTTATCACGTTTGTGCAAACCAGAAAAGTTTGGTTTTGGTTCAGTTCCGCCTCCGCTCCCTTTGACCTTTGCCTCCAAGGCTCCGCAATCAAGTCTCGGGTATATAGATCGGGAATGATCTATATACGTATTTATTTACGTAAACAAGTTACACGTGACTGTCTAACTTGTTTACGTAATTCTGCACAAGAGTAGTTTAATAAAGTTAGTAAGTGGTTTTGTTTTACATTTTAGTCCCAGTAATTATCTCAAATAGATAGCATTGATTCGACGTTTGTGCTCTGCGCATGTCCCTTCAGGCTTGCCGTAGGTTGATGTTCCGGAGCGGTCAAAACGGTGTCGGTCAAAGTTTAGTTACAGTCGTGCTGACTGCATCAAGGCAGCCGAAACAGCTCACGGTTCTCCACGATGACAGCACGGAATATTTCCCGGTTCTGGGAATGGGGGAGGAAGATCATTTGCGTTGGGAGAAACTATGCGGATCACGCCAAAGAGCTGAAAAACGCGATTCCTAAGGAGCCTGTCTTGTTCCTGAAGCCTCCTACTGCATATGTGAGAGAGGGCTCGCCTATCTTGGTGCCCCTTTACACACTAATCTGCACCATGAAGTGGAGCTGGGGGTGGTGATCGGGAAAGGGGGCACGGCCATCCCGCAGTCCGCCGCTATGGAGCATGTTGCGGGTTATGCTCTGTGCTTGGACATGACAGCCCGAGACATCCAGGACGAGTGCAAGTCCAAAGGTCTGCCCTGGACCATGGCCAAGGCTTTCAACACCTCCTGTCCTGTCAGCGAGTTCATCCCCAAAGAGCGCATCCCTGACCCGGCGAAGGTCAGCCTGTGGCTGAAAGTAAATAATCAGCTTCGACAGAGCGGCTGCACCTCTCAGATGATCTTCTCCGTCCCATATCTCATCAGCTACATCAGCGACTTCATCACCTTGGAGGAAGGGGATCTCATCCTGACCGGGACCCTAAAGGAGTCTCCGCCGTGCAGGAGCACGATGAGCTGCAGGCTGGGATCGAGGACATTGTTACGATGAGCTTTACAGTAGACAGACAAGACATTAGCGGGAAAAGAGACTTAACTGAGGCAGATGAGATAATAAAGACTCGTGAAGAGAAGGTGCTTCAATCTTTTTTAAAATCTTTGCGCATCAGCAGATGGCAGTGCTGTGCCACCGAGACTGTATTTCTGATCAATTCTTGCTGCCTTGCCCAGCATTTTAGAAGAGCCGAGTACAACACACAGTTTCGTGACACCGTTTGAGCAAAATCAGGACAACTATAATCTATTTTACTGTATTTTAGCCATGATATAAAAAACATTTCATCACACAGTGTCACTATGTCTTTCACCAGACTATGAAGTAATTTATAGTATTAAAATGAAAGGTGTAATGATGTAAAAAACAAAACTAAATGAGCATTAGATCATTATATTTTTGTAATTTATTATTCTTTTTTAATCATTTGCTGTAAAAAATAAAAGGATTGCAGAAACTTGAAACAGATCTTGTATTCTCCTTTTTGAGAAACTTCATATTTTTCAGAAAACAGTAAATAAACAGTAAATAAGAAGCTATTTCATAATAAAAACAAGTCCTCCATTAAAAAAAATACTTGTCATTGGTAATGACAGTTCATATCAGTATTCATCTTTTTATAAATGCATTAAAGTTCAAATAGTATTCTCAGCGCAGATGTGATCTATGTATAATCACATATATGTTTTTATGTTAATGTTGAAAAAGTGTCTCTTTGTAATCTTGTACACCAGATGTTTGAAACACACTCAAAATACTTAAAAACAATTACTTCAAATGTTGATATAAAAGTTGATTTTTTCCCCCCACAATAATTAGTGGCATTGCTTTTGTTCCCAGTGGGTTATATAGTAAAATCTAAAATTACAATAATAACAGTAAGGTACAGGTAACGTTAAGAAAGCATTCCTTACATTATAGTGTAGATGTAAATTGCATGAAAGACCATGAGTTTTACAAAAACAAAACAAAACGTATGGTTCATTTAAGTATTAAAGTTTTAATATATCTAAGGAATTATTACAATTTAGAGAAGCTTATGGGTTGAAAATGTTTGTTGTCCTCAGAAGAATTCAGTTTGAAAAACCTGTTTGATTAGCACGGGATCAGTTCCATAGTGTAGCAGTTTACACATTTACCCAATGAGTGAAAAGTCCTTCTACAATCCCAGGAGAAGAGACAAATCCCTTTGGGGTTGCATCAGGAAAAGCATCCGGAGTTTAAAAAAAAAAAAGTACATCTGCCAAATCAAACATGTGGAGCTACCCACTGTGGCGCCCCCTGTGAATAAGGGAGCAGCTGAAAGTAACATCAGATTTGTCACTGTGGGAGTTTGAAATACAGGTTTCACTACCCAGCTGTTCTTAATTTAGGAACATGGCTACACTTACCAGCCAGTTCAGTACATACTGTAGCTACCTGCTTTTGCCTTTAGAAGTGCTTTAATTCTTCACGGCACAGACTCAACAAGGTGCAGGAACATCCTCAGAGATTTTGCCCATGTTAGCATGTTAGCATCACACAGCTGCTGCAGATTTGTTGGCTGCACATCTATGATGAGGATCTCCTTTTCAGCACATCCTAAAGAGGCTCTATTGGACTGAGATCAGCTGACTGTGGAGGCATTTGAGCATTTGAACTCACTGTCATGTCACAACCTGAACTGTTAGTACAAGACAGGATGAATCCGCTTTGGGGTGTTCAGAGACGCTCTTTTGCATACCTTTGTTGTAACAAGTGGTTATTGAGTTGCTGTTGCCTTCATTCTTCTCTGACCTCTGGCATTAACAAAGTAACAAGTTTTTACCCAGAGCACTGACGCTCACTGGATATTTTCTCTTTTTCGGGTCTTTCTCTGTAAACCGTAGAGATGGTTATGGGGGAAATCCAGTAGATCAGCAGTTTTTGAAATACTTTGGCAACCACGTCGCAGTCAAAGTCACTAAAAGTCACTTTTCTTCTCCATTTTCATGCTCAGTTTGAACTTCAGCAGCTTCTTGTCCATGTCAACAACCCTAAACGCACCAAGGTGCTGTCACCATCAACTCAGAACAACATCTCTGGGCGGAAGCAACATCTCGGATCAGTTGGATGCGGTTGTGAGGTCTCAGAATCTGCTATGTGAGCAAAAAAGAGTGACAAGACCACAGAATCGACGGCTAATACGTCACGGAGAAACTCGCAGCTATTAACGGGAGATTGAGAGACCAGTATCGGAGTGTTAAAAACAGCTTGAAATTCTCATGAGTTGTTTGCAAAAGAAAAATTACCATCATAATGCGGCTACCCCTTCGGCGCCAGCTGTGGGCTCAAGGCTGGAGCGAACAACTGTTCCTTCCCATTCCCTACAAGGCCACCTGGGTTGGCTGGAGATTGTTTACTTAGCTGGCGGGGCGAAGGACACTGTCTCAGCTCAACTATGGACACGCACACACATACATATACTGATACTGATAAGCACTCACTGACGCATCACCCTCCCTATCCAACGCCACCTCCAACGGTTACCTCCCCATGATGTGGACATCGGGTCAGCTGGAGGCGCAGTCGAATATTGCAGCGGTCCCAGATGAGATGTACACACTGGAACACTTTCCCATGTTGCTTGTCTGTGTTTATTGTGTTATGGTGTGTTGATACCTGTGCATTCCTGTATTATCCTTTTGTGTTACACATTTCAATGTTTTTTCCTCGCTACCTAGCCTGACCTGTCTCCCCAATGTGATGTTTGTATTGTATGTACGGTCGGCAAGGTCTGTCATCTCGGTTGTGGGCAAAAGACCTGCAACTGCCAAATAAAGGCTATCTCATCTCATCTCATGTAATTGATTAGATATTTGTATTAACAAGCAGCCTAACAGGTATAACTAACAAAGCGTTTGTTAAACCGGGTGTATTTTGCTGCTCATTGAACCAGCCGAGATGTATTTCCTTCGAATGTTTAATTGCGTCACACCTAAATACTGCATTTGATACTTTCTTTGATTTGCTTGAAACAATCTGAGACACATAAAAGAGGGCCTCCATTAACCCAGATTATCAGCTGTGGTGTTTCTGCACATCCAGTGTAATTTTGACTTCTAGGATGTCAACCTTCACCGTACCCTGATAGTTCTTAGACTTTTAAACTTCTCTTCCAGGTTCAGAGACAATTCTCCCACAGGCTTCTCTGTTTCAGGATCAATCAGAGCCTCCATCAGCCTGTCCCAGGCCAATCTGCCGTAACCTGAGTCTATATACATCATCTTCCTACACCTGTAGGGGCATGTTGTCTGCAACACTCTTAGTGCCAAGCCCTGGCCTGCAGGGAACTCTGGGGTTATGTATGTCTGTCATTAGAACAGTTATGACAGATTCAATTAGATTCAGGAGCTGGGAAATGTTTCCATGGCCCATTTTTTTCCTCATCACAGGGTTAGTATGCTATGTGCTCACAGGTGTCGTCTTTTATGAGGTATGAATCATACTATTCATTGTACCCGTGTGACTGCAGTATTAAAGCCTCACAGGTTTTTAACAACGGCTTCAAAGCTGGAGCTCAGCTCTGGTTTAACATTCAGCACATAAACCAGCACCGTGTCAACGAGCCTGAGAAGGTTTTTTTGACGCTTTGAGCAGGGATTACTTGAGGACCACAGTCTTTCGGTTCAGCAACAATAACGGTGACATCACTTATGATGTCAGCCCAGGTGGTAACTGAGTCTTATAAACAGAGTCGATCAGAGTACATTGTCAGAGAGCTGCTGGTGTGCATTTAGTATCTGAGAATTGTTATGTGGTCGTGTGGTGATTAGCACTACAGGCTGAGGCTACTGGCCTGCTCGGATTTTCTGTGTGGAGTTTGCATGTTCTCCCTGTGCCTGTGTGGGTTTTTTCCAGATACTCCAGCTTCCTCCGGGAGTCCAAAGATGTGCACATTAGGTCAAGTGATGGTTCAAATTGGCAATAGGTGTGACTGTGAATGGCTGTCTCTCTGTGACAGCCCTGTGATAGGTTAGTGACCTGTGCAGGTG